GAATTTCTTTGATCTAAGATTCGACAAGCTCCGGTAAGATTCGAAAGGAAAGGAGGGTGGATTCGAATAGAGGGGAAGAAGGAGAACAGCTGGTGAAAATTTGAGGCGATTTGGACGTTGGCCGCCGACGGCGGCGATTTCCGGCCGGCGGCGCTAGGGTGGAGGGTGGCGGTGGAGGCGGAGAGGAACAAGAGTACGAGGAGGGAGGCCCTGGTCTCTAGGGTTTCAGAGACTTTAGGACACTTTTATTTAATACCTGAGATTGCACCCAGGCCGTTGGATTGGAGTGAATAGACGGCCTGGATTAGCCGTTATCTAAACGGGGCCGTTTTTGGCAAGTGGGGAAACTGGACCGGGTTTTGAGTGTAATATTGGGCCAAATTTGGACGGGTTTTTGAGCCAAATGTTTGGGCCTGAGGAATTTCAATTAAAAATGGCCCAAACAGACTTATCTTTCAATTTCTATTCTTTTTTCTTTCCATTTCTTTTCAAATCTTTTTTTTCTTTTCTTTTCAAATTAAAAAATAAAACCTACATTAATTCTAAACCAAAATTATCCTACCATATTAGATTAATGTTCAAAATAATATTTACAACAACTAATTAACTATCAAATTAAAGAAAACTGCACGATTCGGAACTAAATGCCAAAATGAGTTATTTTTTTGTGATTTTCTATTTTTGTAACACAACTAAATTACTAACTGATTTCAAAATGCCAAATTAAATCCTAAATGCAACATATTTTTTTGTATTTTTCATGAATAAAATAAAATAAACATGCACAAACAAATGCAAACAATTAACAGAAAATGCCACGAAAATCCACAAAATTGCAAGTAATGAAAAGAAATTATTTTGTTTTGAATTTATGGGAGTAATTCATATAGGGAAAAAATTACGTGCTCACATAGCCATCTGTAAATAGGGTCCAGGTACCCGGATTAGACCCGTTGAACACCTGCAGTTCCTTTTCTACTTCTGGTACTATCCCTGGGCTGAAGTCTGCCACAAAATCTGCTAAAACTTGTGATTTTATCGCAGTTCTAGGTTGATATATGATATCATATTCACTAAGCACTGTAGCCCACTTGGCTAATCTACCTGATAGTTCTTGCTTATGCAATATATTTTTTAAGGGGTAAGCGGTCACTACAGAGATAGGGTGACATTGAAAATAAGGCCTCAACTTTCTAGATGCCATGATTAGTGCTAAAGCAAGTTTTGCTAAATGAGGATATCGAGTTTCAGCATCCAATAAAGATTTGCTAACACAATAGATTGGAGATTGTTTACCTTTGTCTTCTCGTACTAATACTGCACTTACCGCCATTTCTGACACAGCGAGATAGATGAGTAGCCTTTCTCCATCCTTTGGTTTAGCCAGCAACGGTGCGTTAGACAAGTATGCTTTTAGATTTTTGAGTGCTTGTTGACACTCCTCAGTCCAATCAAATTGGCTTTGCTTCTTCAATACTGAAAAGAACTTAAAACTCTTCTCCGAAAATTTAGAAATAAATCTTCCCAATGCTGCTATCCTACCCATCAACCTCTGCACCTCTTTCTTGCTCGTGAGTATGTCTGGTATTTCTTCAATGGCTTTGATCTGTGCAGGGTTTACTTCTATTCCTCGGTTAGAAACAAGGAAACCTAAAAACTTACCTGAGGACACGCCAAATGCACATTTTTCGGGATTTAACTTCATATTGAATTTGCGGAGAATCTGAAATCTATCTGACAAATGTTGGATATGATCCCCCGATTGTGTAGACTTGACTAGCATGTCATGGATGTAAACTTCCATAGTTTTTCCCAGGTGTTCTTGAAACATTTTCGTTACTAACCTCTGGTACGTGGCTCCAGCATTCTTTAGACCAAAAGGCATGACTTTATAACAGTAAGTCCCCCTGTCTGTAATAAAGGAAGTTTTTTCCTCATCTAAAAGATTCATTTTTATCTGATTATATCCAGAATAGGCATCTAAAAAGCTCAATAATTCATGTCCTGTAGTAGCATCAATTAGTTGATCTATGTGCGATAAAGGAAAAGAATCTTTAGGGCAAGTTTTATTCAAGTCAGTATAATCTAAACAAACTCGCCATTTACCATTCTTTTTTGGTACTACTACAGTATTAGCTAGCCAATTAGGATATTTTACCTCTCGGATAGACACGATTTTTAAAAGCTTTTGTACCTCATCCTGAATCACCTGGTTTTTGAAGAATCCTTGCTTCCTCTTCTTCTGTTTGACAGGTGGATATGTTGGATCTTCATTTAGCTTATGGGTCATCACCTCCGGTGGTATACCTGTCATATCTGAATGCGACGAAGCAAAGTAGTCTGCGCTAGCTTTTAAAAATTCAATTAACTTACCTTTCATCTCTGCGCTCAGGTTGGTTCCGATGTAAACTTTTCTGTCCTTCCATGTATAAACAACACCACTGCTTCGAGTTCTTCAATTGTTGTTTTGATGTTTTCATTCTCTTCTGGCTCTTGAATGGCATCAGGCCTTGAGTCTACATCCGTTTGCCCATCATCATTTGAGGTTTGTGTTGCTAAATCTTCAACTGAATTCTGTAATTGCTATTTTTGGTCTGCAACATCGTTCTTTATGCTTGAATCCGCCAATGAATTGATACTTCTAGAAGCCTGCTGATCACCACGAATTTGTCTAATTCCCCATTGTGAAGGGAACTTAATAACCTGATGTAAAGTAGACGGAACAACGTCCATATCATGAATCCATGTTCTACCGAGAATCATATTATACGCCATGTCCATATCTATCACTTGAAATTTCGTATCTTTGACAACACCTTCTGCAAATGCGGCGAGCACTATTTCCCCTTTTGTAACAACGCTTGAATTGTCAGATCCAGACAAGGTACATGCTTTAGGCACCATTTTGTCATCAGCTTGCATCTCGTTTACCACTCTTAAAAGAATGATATTTACAGAGCTACCTAGATCATTCAAAACTCGTTTCACATTAGTATCATGTACAAGTAAAGATATTACCAGTGCATCGTTGTGAGCATTCATCACGCCATCTGCATCTGCATCATCAAACATTATGTTGTCTTCTTCCAAAACTTGGCGAACTCGCTTTCCATGGGTAACTGTGACTTTTGACGTATTTTTTGCAGCCGTATACGTCACACCGTTGACTTCCTCTCTCCACTTATCACATTAACCGTTCTTTTTGGTGATGGAGGTTTTGGTGGCTCTTGTCTATTCTTCATATACGCTTGCTTACCCTTCTCACTAAACAAATCGGTTAAAATAACCTTGTTTTAATAAGTGCTCTATTTCACCTTGTAGCAATCTGCAATATGCTATTTTATGACCATGATCACTATGAAACTCGCACTAGAAATATGGATTTCTTCTGCTAGGGTTCGATCTCATTTCTTTTGGCCGCCGCACCTTATCTCCCATACTTCTTAAAACAGCTACCAACTCAGAAGTGCTGACATTGATACTGTAATCACCAATCTTTGACTTTGTATTAACATTGCTATCCCGCGTATCTCGTTCCTTTCCAAACTTGGATGATGAACCCGCATCTCTGTCCCTTGATCTAGAACCGTACCTCGGGTTTTCGTGTTTAGAACGTGAACCCTATCCTTCTGGTCCCATGTAAGGTTCGTACCTGTTCTTACTGGACCTTTTTTAGTTTCTATTCATCTCGAACCTGTTCTTTCGTCTCCCTGTGACTTAGTGATAGTATCTTCCTCTATCCGCAGCTTCGTGCTATACCTGTTGTAAACATCATTCCAAGTTGTAGCAGGGAATTCTCGTAAGCTTTCCTTGAGCCTGCTCGTGGCTTGTGAGCTTTTTTCATTTAAATTACTTGCAAACACCATGGCCGCCCAATTATCTGGTACACGCGGTAACTTCATTATTTCGCGTTGAAATCTATCCACAAATTCCTTGAGTAGCTCTGTATCTCCTTGTTTTATTTTGATGATGTCTTCCATCCCCTTTTCAACTTTTTGAGCTCCTGAGTGCGCTTTAATAAATGAATCTGCAAGCTTAGCAAAAGAATCGATAGAATTTTCTGGTAAAAGAGAATACCATGTTAGTGCTCCTTTTGTGAGTGTTTCGCCAAATTTTTTGACCAGCACTGACTCAATGTCTTGCTTAGTTAAATTGTTGCCTTTTACGCCAGTTGTAAACGCAGTTACATGATCTCATGGGTCGGTTGTTCCATCATACTTCGGAATATCGGGCATCTTAAACTTTTTTGGAATCGGCAAGGGAGCGGCACTTGGCTTCCAGGGCTGTTGAGAATATTTATCAATATCCACTCCTTTAATCACGGGTGACACACCAGGTATCTGTTCTATGCGATCATTCTGCTCCTTGAGCTGCTTCTGCAAAGTTAGTACTAAACTTTGCAAATCAGTATTATTTGGGGTACCTGACCTTCCATCGCGAGATTCGCTGGGAGTTCCTCCGCTGCCTGAATTAGCAAGTTCCAAGCGTGGGTTTTCTATGGTTGCGGTATTGTTTAGAGGTGGAGTTGGTGGTGCAGTTGGTATCCACTAACGAAAGCTTGAAGGGCATTGTTGACGTGTTCTGCAATTAGCTGTTTCAATGCATTTTCAGCAGTTTGATCGTCCCCTTGTTGATTATTCGTTTGTGATGTTGATCTTTGAGGTGACCCTTCTCGGGAGTGCTGGGGAGAATTTTGGGGTGATGGGATTGGAGTTTCATTCTCTTGTAGATTCTGTTGGTTCAGTTGGTTGTTGTCGTTGACAGTCGACATGGTTGTTTGACAGAAAAATGAATTTGGAAAGTAAAAAGATTATCAGATTCCCGGTAACGGAACCAATTTGTTTAACAAAAAATGCATCTTTCGGTCAAAGCCTATTTTTAGAAGAACTCGGGTTACTGATAACTAAGAAATTCTGTACTTCCTCAATTATATGAAAGGAAAAGAACAAGAGAAAGTAAGGAAATAACTGATTTGCAAAGTCAATATAGAGAAAAGCAGAAAAGTAAAGTGAATATATTCCAATATTGTCTCAAGTGTCTTTACAAGTGAAATTCTCTTCCCCTTATATAGGAATTTACAAATATAACGTTTCCTCTCTTTATAGCCGAATCATTATGAGCATTAGTGACATTAATGAACCGTTATGATTGGCAATCGTAACTGTTTATGGAGATTCTGTAACGGTTCCAATTCTTCTTCCTCATTAATTAGAGGTTCGTGAATCTTCCCCTTCTTACTGTCTTGATTCATTCAGCCCGTGTCTACTGAATGATTTAGACTCGAGCAACTGCATCCCTTCATCTCGTGAGTGATTTGCTCGTACCTCTTGTAACTCGTTCATCTTTTAATGCAATATTCCAGTTGTCATCTTCTTAGTGATCCACGTAACATGCCTTGTCATCCACACATAATTCCACGTGTCATATTTATTTTCTACTAATACACTATAGAATCTGTAATGCCAATTTGAATGGCTAAAAATAAGCAAAACACTCATATCCACATCCATTATACATCCTCTAATTTTAGATAGTTAAAGAGGAAAACTGGGAATTTAACACCAAGAAGCAATGTGTTACTAAAGTATATTACTCTATTAGACATTGAAAATTTGGAAGGAGTCAACCACAGTATGTAATCTATCCTTCACCTTCTCCCACCTCCTCTCGTTCGCTCCAGTTGTCAATGTATAGAACTTTCCTGCATTAGGATTCATCATTTAAAATGCAACATCATTGAAATGCATGTCAAAAGAGATGAAAGAAGTTGGTGTGACACATTGATTTTAGATGCACAAGTAGCAAATACAATAGGAGGGAGCCGGGGTACACATTAAATGGAACCAAGGAAGTGTTGGGCTGACTGTCATTAACTTACTGTTTAAACTAAACAATGAAAAGCTTCTCAATTGAAGATAAAGATGATGTAATTACAATAGTGTCTTACCATCAGGTATTTCAGCGCATGAAAGATTCAAAACTCCAGATTCAAAACCATCAGGGCTTCGAAGAGGGAAATTAAGCAGGAATAAATCTAACTGTAGGTAAAAGTAGTTGTACTGCATAAATGATAGAAATTATTCACTGCATCACCACTTTGGTTTTCCGGGGTATGAACCTCTTCATGTACTTCATTTCTTTCTCTATTATCCCTGATAAAGCAAAAGGCCTGAATCTACCATTGTGCTGATAACCAATGGTTGCTAACGTCCCATCAATTGCAAGATTCAAGAACTTCGAGCTAGAAGTTAACTAATAAACCTCATTGTCAATGTAGATAAAACCATCTGTAAATATTTATCATAAGATTAATTGATGGAAACAAAACTACGGTGATAAATGAGTATACAGGAGACTGAACTAAAGCCTAAGTTGACGATCCTGCAGGCTAGTGAAAAAGTCGGAGCATATCAATATTTATGTTGCTGCATCTTTCAACTAATTACTACCAAAACTATAACGGTGCAAGAATTTGGCAGGTAACCAAGTTCTACTCCGGAAAGGCAGGGAAATGAGACCCTTTCTTAATCAGCTTATGGAAGGAATTTGAAACATCCTAGTCAGCGAAGAAGTAAAACATTCTACATAGCATACACATTGACAATTAAAACCTAAATTAAGCATCATACCATTGCCAATGCAGACTGCAGTGATTGCATGCCGAGCATAATTTGGGATTGTGCAGTACACTCGAATGTGTAATAGGTTTTGCCATCAACGCTGCGCTACAGAATCACAGACAATGATCATCTGGATTTCCTTGTTACATCTTTGAAGCATGATAACGAAGTGTCATGTACCGGCATAAGGAAATAAGTTATTAACTTTAGATAGCAGTTGCACAAGTAGCTTAACTTTACTCCAATGAAACCAATCTAAGCAATTTATCACCTCAAATCCAATAATAACTAGAAATAGAATCATGGGAAGAGTGAATCAATTTAGTCTATTGATTCAGAAACTGATAGCTTGTCTTGCTAACCGGTTAAATACCCATCACAAGAAAAGGTCACGCCCTGCTGAAGCATAGAAAAATGTTGATCACAATTTTTAGTTTATCTTGCATGATATACCATGTCAACAGCTAATCCTTAGTAGATATCCTTCAGGATCTCATAAAATAAGTAGCGTTCGTTAGTCTTAAACCAAATAGAAGGCCAATAGAGAATGAAGAACTTCATGACATCAAGTGTCGGAGGGCATTGCATGGTTTTCAATTTTCTGGTAAAATGGAAGTTATTTTTCAATTTTATCATTTGTTGGTACTTTACCAAAAACGACAAAAAAGAGAATCACTCTGGTAGAAAAATGAAAGCCCGGTTTTCTGTAAACCAAAATTCCCTCCTATACATGCGCTCTTCAAATAGATGTAGTGCCAATAGAGAGCTATGAGAATATTGGAACATACGATACAGGTTAAAATAGTGCACTAACTCATCTTTGTCACAACATGAACTGCAAAAAGAAGGAAATAGATATATGCCTTTTCAAGCAAAGTTCAAGAGAACTTCTGAAAAGAAAGTTCACTGAACTGGAATTAGAATGATGAAATTTCATGACTAGTGGCTCACAGTAAGGAAAGGATAGAAAGGAAAAAGATTACAGAACTGCAACTTGACTTCTGTGAATTGAGCATATTAACTTTTTTAACTCTTCTTTTAAGTTCATGGGAAACTGCAACAGGTTCACCCACATTATGACTGTAAGTGTTCATGTTCCTTCTTACATAAGTAGCTCTAAGCTAAGAAATGATTTTTGCTTCTTTATTTAAGTTCATGGAACCACATTACATAAACTACTTAGGATAGAGGCATAGTTGTTATTGCATCAACATAGCTTTACAATATGTGGCTTTTCTTCTTGTAAGGCCAAATGCATTTTTAAGGGCACAAATCATCGAACATGTTAACCAATTGATTTGGTCCAGAATGAAGATATGTACAGTGGGTTACATCGAAGATGTTAAGGCTCTGAAAAGTTTATTCAACAGTAACACCAATAATAGTTCAGCATGACAAGCACTCAAAGACCAATTACAAATTTTGAGTGATGGAAGAAATACCAAACCACACACCTCTGATGCGTGAATCAGTTTGTTTTCTGAGAAGGCGACACTAAAAACATTTTTGTTAAAATTTCAGCAACCTGCAATATGAATAGTTCTGGTGAGAACACATTGACGAGTGCCACAATTACAAATTAATATGCAATCAATGAAAAATATAATTACTTCGTGGAGCAAGTAATCCAAAACAGCCAAACAGTTATATAAATATCTGGGATAAATAATCTAGCATTTCAACAAACATGTTGCGGCGAACCAAAATCTTGTATGTCCACTTTACTGCTTGGTATCACATTTACACTTATACTTTCTAGTGTTTCAATAACATCTTTGAAAACTTTATCTTCACCTTCAAAAATTTCCTGGGTGAGGGTAAAAAAAAAAAAGAAATAGTTAAAGCAAACTGAATCAATGGATAAGACTAGTCTAATTTATAAGGGGGAAATGTGGTCTAGAAATTGAAAATTGCAACTATAGAATATTTTTAAAAATTAGTGGAATTATATAAAAGGTGACTAAAATCTTCTAAGCTATTTATGGATCCGAAATTGCTAAACCACCAAATGCAGCTCCATACTCCAGTTTCTCCAGCAAATTTTTGACGCAACTATGACATAGGAACAAGAAAACGAGTAGAGAACATTATAGCCATCAAGTTCAGAATGACCTGCCACCCAAAAGGATAGAGGAAAGAGTATCTATCCTTCTTGTTTGTGACAGGCAGAAATCCCTTCTTACTTTCTGCAGCCCCCTGAGCCATATCAAAGGGTGTACTCTTAGGATATCAGCCATTAAAATTTCAGCAGGATACATGAAAGATAACTGTGTGAGATAGATCAGAACTCCTTTCGACTAGGGAACTAAAAGGTTAAGACACTGCACGAAGACTTTTACATGTTGTTGGTGTCTGATAAGTCATCAGCCACAACGGGGCAATTGTTGATCTCATTGCACGAATCTGACACCTCCCAAGTCTATCTATAAGGAAACAAATACAGGAAAATAGTAACTGGTCGTCATTTGGTGCCAAAAAATCAATTAACATAGGACAAGATGAAGTATTGCCAGCACTATTCCCACATCTTATACTCAGAACAAGAACCTATTATGAGCATATCATGAATCTGGGATGACACTTAAATGCAGGGTCATCCAACAACCAGGACATGCATTATTACTAAAGGTGTGTCTTCACAGTAGAATTTATTTTACTTCAAAATCCTTTACAAGGCAGCAATTTTGGATTCACTTTCATTCATCAGTAAGAAATTATATCCTCTACCTGGAAGAAGATTTCTTTTACGCTCCTCAAGACAGCAGGTTAAAATGAACCGAATTAATCTATATTGATATAAAAACCAGTGGAGATTACACTATTGAACTAAACAACCCTGCTTTGAGCAGCATAAGACTATTCACTCGGCTAAATTGGATCCTGCAAAGAAGTCTACAGGAAGTATGAAACTGTGTACACTTCCATCACTTTACAATAGGACTGTTAAAGATTGAGCATTATGCTCAATCATGCATCTTATTGGTCAAGGCCTTAGTTAGAGGGATCTAATTACTTGAGAGCTTGATTCTTTTGCTAAAAAAATAGGAAACTAATCTAAAGTTGGCAAGAGGAAGTGGAGGTTTCCGTCTCCAGAGGCCGATGTAGTGTACTATCTATGGGTTCAACTGAGCCCATAACTTTCGATGCGGAGTAAAAATTTGTATGTAAAAATTCATTAAAATTGTAAAAATAATATATATGAACCCAAAACTTTAAAAATATAATAGGTTCAATGTTAAAAACATTAAAATTAAACCCATAGGATTTAAATCCTGGATCCGTCTGTGTTTGTCACATGCTCTGATCTGATAACACAGCCAGGACCCCTTACGGTTATGTCCAGGGGCGGAGCTAGTGTTCTACATAGGGGTTCGGCAGAACCCAGTACGTATGGTCCAGACCATGTATTTGTATTTAAAAAACTCACTTAATATGTAGAAATACTTTATTCAGAACCCAGTAAGATGCCTTTTTTAGAATCCAAAACCCATAAACTCAAAATCTTGGCTCTGCGCCTCTGGTTATGGCCATTCCTAAACCATCCAAGCTGATGCATCACAGCCACCTTTCTAAATGAAGAAGAGGAACTTTAATAAAGAGGATATATTATCAGTGCTAAGCAAGATTGAAGAAGAATTGGGAACGGTACCTGAGACGATGCATTTGGCAAGTATGGATGATATGGGGCGGTATACTTTTGCAGTGACACCATCTCTCGAAATTATAACCAAAACCTGCGAAAGCATAAACAAAGATATGCATGCCATTCTTTAGCCAATCAAATTTACACGATTGACCCGATCGTGGACATTTCAATGAGGTAATACTAAATAAAGTCTAGCAAACCCATTGCCAATTCAGCAGCACACATGCAAATTACCTTACAAAGTCGCTGACGGTGAAGTCCCAGCAAAGGAATGTCTTTGCCACGCGTCCACCAGAAAGAAAGAAGAAAAAAGAGTTGGTTTCACTTTCTTCAATCTTCACATAACCCACATCATTCGATCATCCAACTCTCTTGCTCTCCACCCATTTATGCAAAGACTAAAATATACCCTCCCAATTGCTGTGGGCTGTGGCAGCAACTTTTACCTCTGTTGGTGTCCTGTTACTTCTGCTTGGTTTGCGGACAAGTTAGATGAGATTATAGTGTGAGGACTATAACAAGAAAATTTAAATAATAATTGTTATGATATACATATTTATATGGATGTCCACTAATCAAATATAACTCCCACTACTCTTCTCCATTATGTAGATAACCCCCACTAGTTCTCACCATTATTGTTGTAACTCCCACACCTCCATAACCTACCCATGATCTTCCTCCATGATCTCAAATGCTTAATAGCATATTCATGGAATTCTTTTGGTATACCTCAATGTTGTACTATAAATAGTGGATGAGAACTCATTTTGTAATACACTTGAATACATGGAAGAATAAGAATCTCTTCTCTCTTGCTCCCTACATTCTTGTCTATTTTCTTGTTTTATATTATTACTTTGAGCTATGTTTCGTAACACGTTATCAGCACGAATTGCTATATTCTTCTTATATTTTCTATAAGATATGAAAGCCTTCCATGGGAGCTACAACCTTGAATCAATTTGGTTGAGCCTGTGAAATTCTGTGCATTTCGTATGCCATATCGATAAGTTTGCATCTATATTATCCAGGGAGTATCATTTTTAATTATTCTACGAATTCTGAAGTTGAATTATGTATCAATAATATAGAAACAACAAACTGATAATAGTAGTTACAATTATTTTCTGCCAGTATGAGCCACCACTACCAAGAACCAAAGATGAATCCATTCCTTTCCATTGAGCAGGCACTCAAAGTATCGAGCTTTAACACTCGAGTGCCATTGTTTTGTGTAATATATCGGAGTATTAAGAAAGTAAGGTACCTGTTTATATACTTACACTATTTATGCATACACGAGCATTTTGGCATGCATGAGTTTATATTTGTTGAAGCTGATAGGTGGCACTGGTTTAGTAATTTACACCATGAACACAAGTTGGTTGATATAGAATTAGTAGTGTGAATAACATATATCAACGTCAATACTAGCTCCACCATATATATATATATATATATATATATAATGATTATGCTCTTATTTTTATGGTTGCACTTGAAGTGTGAATGATTTTCAACTTCTGATTTTCCCCTAAACCAGAAAAAATGAGAATCTTAGAAGTTGCAAGTTTCTTAAGACTAATGCATGAGATCTCGTATTATTTAATTCATATGAATCACTTAATTGAAAATCGATAATTGACGCGGGTTATTATCACATGCATATGAATTATTAAGTTTACTTATGGATATAATCACGGAGAGGTAATAGTTTTAAAGGCTTAAGGGTGAGCACCAGTATGTTGGCCTATTTTCCATTGAATGAGGGTAAGACGATGGGTTCGAGCCCCATCGCACTATGATGATAAGACATCGGGTTTAAGGCCTGGTGCACCATGATGATAAGAGTTGGGTTTGAGTCCCAATTCATTATAAACTAACATGCTTTTATATGGGTAAGGCAGTGGGTTTGAGTCCCAATGCACCATATTGATGATATAATGATGACTAAAGAAAAATAATATATTTTTCATGAAAAAGCATAAAGTTTGTCCCACTTGATTTGCTCCATTCTTGAAGTGAATGTGATAACGGTGCATAATAAGTCTAAATAAAGACAAGTGGTTGACCAATGAACGTGGGCGTGCCAAAGATCAAATAATAACAGTCATCATTATGGTAATTGTAAAAAGGATAACGATAAGGGTTCTCAAAATGATCCTTCAAAGGTGAAGGAACATGTATCAATGTGGTCTGTTAATACGAGACACGTTCATATGATTATAGTCCATTCGTTGAAAATGTGACTTGTGATAAGCATTGTAACTGCAGACTCATTCCTGAAAGTGAATGTGAAAATATATACTTCATGTGATAAAGATTATGCATAATAACGTACTTATGTATGGTTGGATAAATACCACAACTCACCTCTAAGGGAGGTTTGAGAGAAATAAAGATAATGACGTGCTTATAAAAAGTTATTAAAGGCAAAAGTAAAGCAAGAAATGATTTTGCTTATGATTATTTTGACCATGACAATTATTATGATATGATTTTCTCCGTGAAGGAGACATTCACCATATGGATGGTGTGACAAAAGATATTATAGTACAAAATCAATTAAGAGCTCCGAAAGAGTTAATTTGTTACTACCCGGATGAATGAAATTGTTCATGACATTGATATTGTAGTAAGTCTCAAACGGAATTTTTGAGTTTAAAATATATTAGCCAAAATGGTTGGCATATTGAGACTATAAATGAAAGGAAGATTGAATATCTTCACATTACTATAATCATACCGGGTAAATATAAAAGGTTACCCGATTTTTCTTTTTTTTGTACTACACAAGTATAAGCATGATGATGGAATCACATGCCACAAGTAAACTAGAGGTTTACTGAAACAAATATTAGTTGGCATGAACGGGTTGGCCATCCCGGTTCAATTATGATGCAAAAATTAATTGAGAATTCACATTGGCATATATTGAAGAAATAGAAGATTCTTCAAGAATTCTCTTGTGCTGCATATTCTCATGATATACCAGTTAAGGTTGGGATTGAATCCCTTAAGATCTGGAACGAATAAAAGGTGATATATATATATGGGCCCAATCACCTGCCATGTGGACCATGTACTATTATATGATTTTAATAGATGCATCTATTGTATGGTCATATGTGCGTTTGTTGTCAACTTGCAGTTTGGATTTTGCAAGATTGATTGCTCAAATTATTAGAGTAGAGTCCAAAATATAAATTTATCTTGATAGTGCTGGTTTAAATCCAAGTTGGTTTAGCAGAGATTGTATGCCTCCAATTATAGCTAAACCATTGGTTATGAGAACAAAATTACCAAAAGGAAATTTGGTATGAGATGTATTATTTAATATAGAGCAGCACTTGTATGCATCTAGCCAAGTTATGATAAATTCTCCCCGTCACAATTGGTTCAGGGTCAGGAAACCAAATAATTTCCATCTTGAAATATAGATGTGCTATATGATTTAATTGTGACACCACAATGCACAAAGATGGGTTCCCAAATAAGGTTGAGAAATGTGTTGGTGATCCTAACATTAGGGGGAGAAAATGGGCAGCTGAAACAGTGATACGTGGAATGAATTATATGAATACATCTAGATCCTTGTACAAGAAAATGTGAACTTATGTGAACTTGAAGTTCAAGTGATAATTCATTTCCAAAATATTGCCAGGAGCATTTGCTGACCAAAAGCTAAATGTCATATTTCAGCTGTTAATGCACCAAAATGGAATAAAGTCCATGATGGACAGAGTTTATGACACGCATGAAGCGTAATAGACTAATCGGTTCCAAAGATAAAACTCCTTGAAGAAGGAGAGGAGCAAATGTTCAAGATGGTCACAATAAGGAGGCAAGTGCTTTATAAGAGCACCATGACATAACACTTTATAAGACCTCATGGGAGAGGCTCAGGTACCTGAAAATAATGAGATAAAGAGATCTCAATAGTTATGTCTTAATTGGGTAACGATGGAACCGATATAAAATGATCATCGATGATATTGTTGATATAATGTAGCGCTCAATATTATTAATATTGACGAGGATGTTGAGCTCAAATCTGTCATGGAATTTGGACAGATAAAATGCTTGGTCAATGAAAAATACGCAATTAAGATTGACTTCACTTGGAAAACGTGAAGTTTTGGACTGATAGTCCCAACACCTTAAAGTATAAAGTCAGTGGGGTGACACAAGATTTTACGTAAATGTCCTAGCATTGATTATATGGAAACATGTTCCCTTGTGGTGGATACAATTGCTTTCAGATTTTAGTCTGGCAATACCTGATAAATTTGATATGCGTATATAAAAATCATTGAAGGATTTAAACTGTTCTAAAGCATATTAAGGTTCCCAAGAAATTCATTAAATAAAGCTTCAACAAATCCTCATGGGGATTGGAGCAATCATGGCGTACATGATTTATTGGTGCACTATGTATCTTGCTAGAACTACGAGTATAACAATATGCCAACGAGATATACTTTAATTCCTATATAAAGATACTGGAATACTATTTATGATTATATTGCAAAAGATCCTTGATATAGATTTGTTTATTCTAACAAATATTGTCAAGGTTTTGTTTGGTTATACAAATGCAGGGCATAGTTCGTTGTTCAAGCAATCTATTTCCATGTGAGGAAGTGTGACTTTTCTTTGGAGAGACGATTCCAATAATATTGAAGACGATGATGCTTGCATAGCTCAATTAAAAGAACGATATATTGAAGAAGACAAAATAAAGCAAATTTAGCCAAAGTTTCTTTGCAGAGACGATCTTCAATAGAATGATGAAATAAATGTCCAAGAAATTCCTTCAAGTGATAATTTTGCGGAATAATTCACGAAAGGCATTGCCGATCTCAAGTATTAGAGAAGTTGTATACAAGCTTGGAATTCGGCATCTCCGAGAATAAAGTGATATTTTTATCAGGGGGAGGCAAATACGCGTTGTACTCTTTTTTCCTTAGCTAAGGTTTTATTCCACTGGGTTTTTCTGACAAGGTTTTTAATGAGGCGGCAAGTAATGCATATTACAAGATATGTATACTCTTTTTCCTTCACTAAGATTTTTTTCCTCCATGGTTTTTTCTTAGTAAGGTTTTAACGAGGCACATTATCTATGGACATCCAAGGGGGGAGTGTTATGAAATACATATTATATGGATGTCCACTAATCAAATATAACTCCCACTACTCTTCTCCATTATGTAGATAACCCCCACTAGTTCTCACCATTATTGTTGTAACTCCCACACCTCCATAACCTACCCATGATCTTCCTCCATGATCTCAAATGCTTAATAGCATATTTATGAAATTCTTTTGGTATACCTCAATGTTGTACTATAAATAGTGGATGAGAACTCATTTTGTAATACACTTGAATACATGGAAGAATAAGAATCTCTTCTCTCTTGCTCCCTACATTCTTGTCTATTTTCTTGTTTTATATTATTACTTTGAGCTATGTTTCGTAACAATAATGAGATTATTTAGTCAATATATTTCTATTGGTATATATTTTGATTTATTATTCTATTAAACATATATTCCTAAAATTGAAAAAGGTTCAAATATATTCTATGTGGCTTCTATCATATTGGCTAACTCATGAGTAAAAACATATTTAAGACAGCAGATAATGGTAAAGACCCCTATGAGTCAGTAGCTTAACATAGAGGGTATGAGACAAGTACAAAAGTTAGGGGTATATTTGAATAGAATGAAAATGTGTAACTTTCCCAATTATTGGAAAATTAAGTTAGTCGTCGTTAAAAAATAATAATTAATAAATATATACTACTACTATGATATACGTAATTAATATATACTAGTAGTATATATGTATATTTGATTCGGGAATATGAATATAAATGAAAAATGACACTGCATAGCAGCTGTAAAAATAATAGCTGAAAAAATATATAAAATTTATATATTTTTTGTATATATATATATATATATATATATTTTATATGTTATATGCAAAAATTATACAAATTTTATACACTTTACGACTACTAAACATAAATAATTTATGGCGTGGGCTAAAAGTGATAATACCCAACATTTTTTGTGGAACGGCTAAATGCATAACTTTTCCACACTAGCGGCCAAAAGGCCCAAAAGTTGCCAAAACCCAAAGAGAGAGCCCAAAACCACACCAGCTTAGCTCAGAGCTGTAGCAGTAGCAGTAGCAGAGAGGGTTTAACAATCCGCCATAGCCGCCTCCCTTTCTCCCACAGTACAGACAGTGAAAATGCGTAGACTCACGTCCCCATTAACACGCCCCCACCTTCGAACACTGCTCCGCCGCTGTATTTCTTCGTCGGCGACTAATCAATCCCACCACCTTCCCTATTCCCAAGTCTCCCTTTCCAAAACCCACCTTTTCACTTCACCACTGCCCCATGGCCCATTTCCGTTTTCACTATATTGCACCAGTTTTAAACACTTTTCATCCCAATCTGAAGATCCTGTAAAGGATCAAGAAGAAACAATTGCTCAGTCTTTATCGTCTGAGCTTGTCAAAGAACTGGACTCGGAATCTCTCTCCATTCCAGAAAGACTAGATCTTTCTTTCTCCCACATAACTTTAACGCCTTCCCTGATCCTTACCACACTCAATCTTTCCCCAGATGCTGGCCGAACTGTTTTAGGGCTTTTCAAATGGGTTAAATCCAAAGAAAGTTTCAATCTTGATGATGAAGTTGTGTCTTACTTTGTGGATTATTTTGGGAGGAGAAAGGATTTTAAAGCTGCAAATGACGTGCTTACTGATGGCCGAGGGGTAACCGGCTTTAAGACGTTTGAGTCCATGGTTGATAGGCTTGTACGGGCCGGGAGGTCCACTCAGGCAGTGACATTCTTTGAAAATATGGAGAATGATTATGGGTTAGTTAGGGATTTGAATTCTTTGAAGTTGGTTGTTTCTAGGTTGTGTGAGCATGGTTTTGCTAGTTATGCTGAGAAAATGGTGAAGAATTTAGCTAATGAATTTTTCCCTGATGAATATGTATGTGATATGTTGATAAGGGGTTGGTGTGTTGATGGGAAACTTGATGAGGCCCAGAGGTTAGCTGGGGAGATGTATAGAGGAGGGTTTGAAATTGGTACTGCAGCATATAATGCAATTCTTGATTGTGTTTGTAAGCTTTGTAGGAAAAAGGATCCATTTCGGCTTCAATCCGAGGCAGAGAATGTGTTGGTGGAAATGGAAGAGAAGGGGGTTCCTAGAGATGTGGAAACCTTTAATGTGTTGATCACTAACTTGTGTAAAATCAGGAAAACGGAGGATGCTATGAATCTGTTTTACAGGATGGGGCAATGGGGTTGTTCTCCAGACGAGACGACTTTTTTGACACTTATTAAGAGCTTATACCAGGCTGCAAGGATTGGAGAGGGTGACGAAATGATTGATAGAATGAAATCTGCAGGTTTTGGGGATGCACTTGATAAGAAGGCCTATTATGAATTTTTGAAAATATTATGTGGGATTGAGAGAACTGATCATGCTATGATTGTCTTTGCAAAGATGAAAGAGGATGGTCGCAAACCGGGGTTAAAGACTTATGATTTGTTGATGGGAAAGCTGGTTGCTCATAATCGTGTTGACAAAGCAAATGCCCTTTACAAGGAAGCTGAGAACAATGGATTGCCAGTTGAGCCAAAGGCATATATGGTGCATCCTAGATATGCAAAGAAGAAACCTACAGCCGTGAAGAAGGAGAAGAAGCGAGAGACACTGCCTGAGAAAATGGCTAGAAAGAGGACAAAGCTAAAGAAAATTCGCCTGAGTTTTGTGAAGAAACCTAGGAAAATGCAGCGCCGAGCATATTGATCCCTTCTGTATCTGATGATTTTGAGAGAGTTTTTCAAGTGGTATGCTGAAAAGTTTTTCCCCCTTTGTTTTGATATAAAACTAGACAACATTAGAAATAAAATCTTTGATTCGCAGCTGCGCACACTCCTTTTTTCTTTTTGCTTTTAAAATTTTTAACTGATGAACCAATTTATATTTTTGTATCTCATGAATCCATTTTCAACATAAGATCCAACTTGCTGTCATATCTCCTTTTGTGTAACAAACAGTAGTGACACTCTTCTATATATATAATATATATATTCTCTTGTGACAGATAAATGTAAATTACTTGTGACTAGATTAATTGGCAGTCGTTGGTGTTGAATTCGTTGTGCATTTGTCTGTATAGGCGCACATATTTTGTACTGGTTTATTGAAGTTGGATGCAAGAACAGCATGTTCGGAATAATTGTTGGGATTATCTTTCCCAGCGCCGAGCATATTGATCCCTTCTGTATCTGATGATTTTGAGAGAGTTTTTCAAGTGGTATGCTGATATGTTGTTTCCCTCTTGTTTTGATATGACTAGATAACATTAGCAATAAAAATTTTGGTTCGCAGCAGCGTATGCTCCCTTTTATATGCTGAGCGCTTCGCTTCGCTTAGCGGGTGCTTCACTGTCGCCATCAAGGCACTACGACATACTTTTCCTTGCTAATGAGTGCAATCCTAGGGAGGCGACACTAAACAATTGATATTTTATTTTATCCCTTTTTTTTTCAATTTCTTTGTCCATATGTTTGTTATTCATGCTTATAATTATTAGGCTTAGACTAAACATACGTATTTGTATTTTTTTCTCCTTTTGCGTCTTTCTTCATTGAAGCCCACGCTCTGTGTATCCCATGAATCCAATTTGAACTAAAGATCCAACGCGCTGTCATATCTCCTTTTGCATAACAGCTAGTAGTAACATTCTTCTATGCTTCGGAGGGTTTATATATATTCTCTTGTGACGGATAAATCTAAATTACTTGTGACTGGATTAATTGGCAGTCATCGGTGTTGAATTCATTGTGCATTTGTCTGAATAGGCGCACATACATTGTACTGGTTTATTGGAGTCTGATGCAAGAACATGATGTTCAAAATTGATCGTTGCAAGAACATGATGTTCAACATATTCTATGTATTTGGTAACTATTTAGTAATCTTAGGTCATATGTTTCTTGCTATGTAAGATTGCTTCATATTCCTGCCAATCAAGAAGGTTGAGGTTTTCGTAGTATCATAGAACTTTAGTTATATTAGCAGAATTTGCCCTTACAAATGAGACATGTAGAATCTGAATTGAAATACATCATTTAAAAGGAGTCATCTTCACATCTAAACAAATTACCTTAACTGGGTTTGTCTTGCACGATCGTGTAGAAGCTTCTAACAGAAGCAGTGTGAGATGGAGATTGTATGGATGAAAATAATTCAAGATAATGGTTGAATAAGTCATAAATATTTGCATTTTGGATATATGTGATTAAAATTTCAGCGATGCTATAACTTTAAGCGATCATCCTACTGCTATTACATAGTACTTAAGGATAATGTCTATCTACTTAGGTCACAGTTCAGCTATATTGGTAGCATTGTGGAGGATGGACTGAACTTGGCTGTAATATTCTCTGGTGTTATTTATTTATGACTGATCACTTTGTTTCTCAAATTGAAGCTTGCATCCGTGCCAACAAGAAGGGCGGTTTCCCCTGATCACTCTAAATCTGCTGATCAAGAAGAGAGAAATGAAGAGGTTTTTTCTTTATTCAGGAAAAGTAAGAGGGGGGAAAAAAAAAAAAAAAAGAGGAGCAAAGTGCTACCAAAAAGAACTTTGTTGGATGCCTAAGCTAATGAAGATTAAGCTGCTGCATCCAAGATCTGTTAGCTGCAACTTACAGTTATATTGAAGCTGAGAACTGATTCGTCTCAACTTGGCTTTTGTTGTTAGTACTACTACTTTTATGCACCTTGGCAAACGAGGTATACTGGTATAGTAACACTAACCATAACACGAAAAAGGATGTCATTATGAAGCTTTATTGCTTTGTGAATGGAGTATATATAAGAAGGTTCAAATCTGAAAGGAAGCAAATATCTAACTGATTTCTTCCCATCTGATTAGTCTTGGTGGGCATAGCAGGCATTTGGTGAATTAGTCGAGGGCCGCACAAACTGTCTTGTACATCATCTTCTAATAGAGTATATATAAAAAAGATACCATTTTCAAATTGAAATTGCTAATTTTGACCAGAAAAAAAAAAAAATCAAAAGAAAGATGACAAGCACTCAATACAAATTGGGCAACAACTTTAAGAAATGTAATACTCCTACTAGTTTATTTAGGTAATACATTATTTCTTGAAACATAAACTTATATTATAAGAGTCAACTCATTTTTAAACCGCTCATTAATTTTCAATCCGTATTTTTTAATGTGAAATATGAGCGAGTTTGATTTCTATATGTATTTGTTCAATTCATTTTCCACCACTCAAACCCAACGTACCACTACCCTTCACAGTCAAGACATCATAACAAAAGAATTTTATGCTTCTTGCATCTCCGATTTGTGCCAAGTATCTCATCTTAATGGAATTTTTCTCCCAAATTTCAACGAAAATTTTAGTTAAGAGCAGAAAGATGTGCCAAAGTATTTAAAGTTTATTGATAACTCTATATAATTGTAAGCTAATGTAAAGCAATGATCCCCTTAATTAGCCGCGTCTTGACCAAGTATGATAATGAAACCTTAAATCTAATAAATTCTAATGCTTAACCAAACAAGGAAAATAAAATATCCACGGTGTTCAACTTTTTTAATGGTCCAACTCTCTGTTTCTGCTAGTAATAAAAATGGAAAAATAGCAAACAATTGTATGAAGTCTCTCTTTTAAATAGATTAACAATAAAAACAGAGGTGGCCGGTGGGATGAAGCAAACCATAAAATTCATTGAACAGCCATTTCTTATTCTAAATTTGAGTACTACTCCCTCCGTTCCAATTTATGTGAACCTGTTTGACTGGGCACGGAGTTTAAGAAAAAATGAAGATTTTTGGAATTTGTGGTGCTAAACAAGTCAAAAAGGGACCCAGAGTATTTGTGTGGTTATAAAAGCTTCTCAGTAAGGGTAGAATTGTAAGTTTAAGCTAAATTGTTTCCAAATTTAGAAAGGGTTCATTCTTTTTGGAACGGACCAAAAAGGAAATAGGTTAACATAAACTGGAACGGAGGGAGTATTTGTTTTTGAATGTCAAAACATTGTTATATGATATAACCAGAAAATTGCACTAACATTATGGCTAGCGTTTTCATTGACAGGCAATATATCTTTTTGGTGCTATTTGTATATCTTTTGTGTGTGCGTATGTTTTTTCCTTTCTCATTTCCCCCCTGTATTGGTTCATCAATTTAATTTCATTTTGACACAGTTCTTTGCGTGTTGAAATAAAAGCGCGTATTAGACGTTTCTAGATACATACAAATTTAATTACAATACACAAATACTTTCTTGGGGAAGTGAGAGTCTGTGTCCTGTCAAAAAGCAACTGAATACAAGTCTCTATAAAGAAACGAAAATTGACAACCTCAATAATTTTTTCTAAAGCTATTTCTTAATGAAGTTGCGTTGAATTAGTTTGCCTTTCTAAGGCCAAAAAAAGTCATGAGGCATGTGAGCCTTCCAAGTCCGAAGTATAAAGTCATCTTTGTTAAAGAGTCTTACTCTAATGTGAAAATATTCTGACGCAAATCCAAATTTAATCGAGGTCCAAGGCGAGTACCGAACTAAAACTATCAAAGAACCGAAAAAAGAAAGAAGAAGATGCTAACACGTCAGCTCTACTAACGACTTTTGAGTGTTTTTAATCTAAATGATCCAATTTAGAGTCATAATCATTTGCACATATAATGGCCACTTATATTCTCGAAGTGTTCCCATTCAAAATCATTTAAGTTTAAGTCGATCACTTATACATGTTGCAGTTTCTCAAATTTTAATCATATTACACAAGAGAGAAATTAAACACAAGAATAGTCACTACTTTTTAAAGTGAACTTAACAATCTGCACCGAAAATCTTGTACTTCACTAGAGGGTATTGTGCTGTGTGAATCCAATTACATGATTGAACACATGAAGTTATGATAAAAAAAAGAAGGCGGAAATTCAATCTTAAATAATGACAATTATCCCCTTGCCAAATAAATGTGAAGCACCCCTCCCCTCAATTCCTTTTTCCGTCAAACAAGATTCCTTCTTTTCTCTTCTAACTCTTTTCCTAAATATTGCAACTAAGGGCTGGCAATTTGTCCTTCTTTTCCCTCTATTGGAAAGGTTCCTTTTTGTTTTCCCCTCTCGTTGCCGCGGCATTTAATGGAAACACTGAAAATTCCCTTAGAAGCTACTATCAGCGTTCCAAATTAAATTCAAGTAAATCATAATCTCAAAGAAAAACAAAATATTGGCTAATCTGGTGACAGTTGGCTCAATTAAGTCTATTTCGCCCCTCCCTTTTAACTAATACAGTAGTCCATATGAACATTACAAAAGGCTAATTCCTTGCCATTACAACATTTTAATTCCCTTCCCTCTTCTTTCTCTCTCCTACTCTGCCAACCTGCTTTTTAATTCCCCACACAAAATATTTTTCACTCTTTCCAACTCCAAAAATCCAGAAATATTCAACCAGTTGCAATGGAGTTTTGCCTGAGTTCCAGCTCAAGATCAATCACTAGATTTGGCAATTTGGTTATTCTGATCGCTTTTTTGATTTCTCTAATGTGCTTTAAGTCTACAGGTGAGTACTCAACGTGTCATTCCCTCCGTCAACTAATGAAATTTTCCCTAAAAAATATATAACGTTCCTTTTTTTTTTTTTATTATGCCAAGGCTTTTTGTTGAATCAACCTGACTAAGTTGTTCATTGTTCTTCCTTTTCTTTTATTGTGGGTGAGTCATAAAAGTAAAAAAAAAAAAAAAAAGAAGAAGAAGAAGATTTTTTGGCATTCGTGGAGTTGTTTTGATTTTAAGTTTTTGGTCAAAGATAGTTTGGATATTCGAGTTTTGAGTGTGGTTTGCTTTATTAACGGAACAAGAATGTCTTGCACGTTGATGTGCATGCTAAGCTTTGGTTACTCTGCAGCACAGTAGAAGACTCTAGAGCATTTTGACCTTCTTATAATAGACTTTATTGTTAATTTCTAGTATTATCTTTCTAATATTATGCATCGACATTCCCCCATTGTTTTAGTCAGGTTCTCTGCATCTTGTTTGTTTTGTTCCTTGTTTTGTTTTAGAGTTTGTCGAACAGGAAGATGGTGGTATTTATCTTTCTTTTTTATTTGAAACAAAATCTGTTTCTATGCCTTTTACTTTTTAAGTTAATATTACCTAGGACTATTAAATTCACCTACTTTTTAAGTCAACCAATTGTATTCTAGCAATCTGATATGTATTCATTAAATTGTGACTTTACTGAATTTGTTTAGATTGATGAGTTAGTTCACATTGTTGATATTAGATTCACCTACATAATCTCAGATTTGTCCTATTATATTTACCTCTGACTTTTACATTTAGAATGCTTGGGACATCAAAATTGTGCAATCTGTTACTGTGGCTATATGCATTTTTTGTTGGCTAGGTTGACGAGTTAGTTCAGGTTACTGATTGTTGTTAGCTCAGTTATAAGGATGAGTTCTAGAAATTTTGTTTGTCTCTATAAAGAACAAATTTTGGGATACGGAATAAACTCCGAGAAATAGTAGAAATTAAACCACTACTAACACTATTTGTTTGGTGTCCTTTTCCCCCTCTGTTTCTAGAGCTCGCGTAAAGAAGTTAACTGTTTGCTGAATATTGTTGCAGATGCTTATGATGCACTCGATCCGAATGGAAATATTACCATCAAGTGGGATATCATATCTTGGACTCCAGATGGATATAATGTGAGTGTATTTGCTCTTATTTTACTAACGAAATGCTCTTCAACCTCATCTAAGGGAGATATGACTCTATCTAGAAGGAACATGATTTCAAATATATCATTGTCTCATTTCCAATCTAATTGGATTGCCATTCCAGCATTCAAGGATTTTGTTTTGATCCCTCACTCCTCAAGAAGAAACATAAATGAATATATCTTTACTTTTGTGTTTTGTCTGAAACAGGATAGGACGCACATATCTTAAAGGTCCCCTCTTATCTCACTTCCACAAAATAAACAACCTAACCTCAGGGTGGTTCAAGTAATTAATTCTGTTCTTTACCAATTCAAAATGCTGCAATAGCCTTAATGGCAATGATGTGCTCTAATTTCATTAGCTCTTTCTGTGGATACATCGTTTCCCTTATATAACTTTCCTATCTAAGCATTTTTTTTAGAGAGGTAACATTGTATTAATCAAAACCACAAAGGCTGTGCTGGTCCATACTTCCAATCTAAGCATATTTTATATATCAAAGGTTTTAGGACCCATAAGACTACACTTAAGTTGACATGTTTGTTTTTATAAGTTTCTCTGAGTGCATCATTTCTTTGTCTATTTGAATTAGTGCAACATGGAAGTTCAAATTATTTTCTTTTTTTTTTTTCCTTTTTATCTAGTAGCAAAATCACTCATCACTTAAAATACCGTCGAGAGCTTATAATGAAGTTTATTACAATAGTGCTTGACCCAAAGAGTATTTTCTCCCCTGAATTATGCAGGCTGTTGTTACAATATATAACTTCCAAAAGTATCGTCATATTCAAGCACCAGGATGGCAACTCGGTTGGACATGGGCCAAAAAAGAGGTAATTTGGAGCGCAACGGGAGGTCAAGCCACAGAGCAAGGAGACTGTTCAAGATTCAAAGGAAATATTCCTCATTGCTGCAAAAGGGACCCAACCATTGTTGATTTGCTGCCAGGAACTCCATATAACCAGCAAACTGCAAATTGTTGCAAAGGTGGAGTAATTAGCTCATGGGTTCAAGATCCACAGAAAGCTGTGAGCTCATTCCAGCTTGGTGTTGGTCAAGCAGGAACAAGCAACAAGACAGTGAGGTTGCCGAAAAACTTTACCCTCCAGGCACCAGGACCTGGATATACTTGTGGACCTGCGAAGAAGGGGAAACCAAGCAAGTTTCCAACACCAGATGGAAGAAGGGTCACTCAAGCTTTGAGTAAGTTATAGTGGATTATCAAGCTATGAGTATGCAAGAAAATTTTTTTTCAGTGGTTGCATGTTTTCTTTTTCAGTTAAGTATATTGTTATTTCTATTCCATTCCTTTAGTTACTCAAGACACTAATGACATGACACATCGGTAAAAGATGCCTACCTTTTGACCATGAAATTTGTTTTCTTTCTACTGGTGAGTGGTATAATCATTTTACTTGTATCTTTTTTTCCTTGCAGTGACGTGGAATGTTACTTGCACCTATTCACAGTTCCTAGCTCAGAAGACACCTACCTGTTGTGTCTCACTCTCCTCCTTCTACAATGACACCATTGTGAACTGCCCAACATGCGCCTGTGGTTGCAAAAATAACATAACTAAACCTGGAACATGTGTAGAGTGAGTGGACACTTCTTTAATCTCAAAGTCTCCCTTTCTTTTTCATTTTAGCTTCACTTCTTAATATTCATATGATATTTTTATGCTCTCTGACAGGCCGGACTCCCCATTTTTAGCTTCAGCACTTGTAAGCTCAGGGAAAAATGATAACAATCCTCTGGTTCGGTGTACTGAGCATATGTGTCCAATTCGAGTTCATTGGCATATTAAGACCAACTATAAAGAATATTGGAGGGTAAAACTCACCATACAAAATTTTAACTACAGAATGAACTATTCCCAGTGGAATCTTGTTGTTCAGCACCCCAACTTTGACAATCTAACCCAGATATTCAGCTTTAATTATGAGCCACTGGTCTCGTATGGTTCCATTAGTGAGTAATCTTTCCCCTTGATAAGTTAATACAACTTTTTATATACATTTGAGCTTTCTAACTGATTTTCTTTTAATTGATCTTTTACAGATGATACTGCTATGTTTTGGGGAATCAAATTTTACAATGATTTGCTAATGCAGGGTGGACCTTTTGGAAATGTGCAATCAGAGATCATATTTCAGAAGGATAAATCGAGGTTCACCTTTGAAAAGGGATGGGCTTTCCCTCGAAGGGTTTACTTTAATGGGGACAATTGTGTTATGCCACCTCCGGATGCCTATCCTTACCTGCCAAATGCTAGTGCCCATAGTGCGCTCACTCTACTTCACTCTCTGACAGCAGTTTTGGTGTCTCTGATTCTACTATATTCACACACCTTGTAATATTGTAAGAAAGAAATAGAACTAAGGATTGTCATTGCTTCCAAAAGAGAGAATTTTCTACCCTTGTTTATATCAACCTGGATGCCTTCAGTAAATTTAAAGGCATCATTTTTGCAACTTCAGCCCAAGGTTCCCAAATGTGAAGGTGTACTTGTGATTTTGTAGATGTAACTATTGGCTTGCTGTGTTCCAGTTCGATTGCATTGAGATCCAATGGATGCATTGTATATCTTTGCAGAAATGTAACCCTTTAATATAATGCATCAGTGCCCTATATCTTGAAAATTTTGATGTGCACTATTGAATGATGTTGAGAAAGATTTGGCAGAAAGCAAGAATCTTATACATAAGTGAAATGCTATCTCCAGATATACAACAAAATAGACAAGGTGCAATCTCACTGTTCTCTCTACATGCATGCAATATAAAACCAACCTAAGCAAGCTCTTTCAATAATGGAACAAAGTCTTAATATTATCAGAAGGGCCAGCAGAATCTGTTGTTGCTTCCATTCTAGGAATGTTTTTGCCATTACCCGGTTAGGAAAATCATCAAAATCATGCAAATTACTGTGCGTGAAAATGAAATTGATTGTTTTTCAGTAGAGTTGGGCAAAGTTGGGTATGAATCCGGAGGAGGAAGTTTGCATTCAGCTCCATTGAAGTAGACTCTCCGGGGAAATCCCCATCCAGACTTTAGCGTAAACGACTCCTTATCCTTTTGCATAAGCACCTCAGACTGAACATTCCCTGCAGGTCCAGCTTCCATCAAGAGATCATTGTAAAATTTCATGCCATAGAACATGCCAGTATCATCTGTGTATCAAGCATGACCGTTAAGTTCAGTTCAATTTTTTTCTGCACGAAGTTAAGAATGAGAAAAAAAATACTAAATTCACATTCATATGCACTCACTAACGGATTGGTATGGCACGAGAGGCTTGTAGTTGAAGCTGAAAACTTGAGTCACATTATTGAGATTAGGATGTTGTGCCACAAGTGTCCAATGTGTATAGTTCAGTCTGTAGTTAAAGTTAGTGATAGCAATCTTGACTCGCCAATAATCCTTGTAATTGATCTTAACGTGCCAATGCACGCGTATTGGGCACATGTGGTGGGTGCATTGTAGCAATGGCTCATTATCTTTTCTTGGAGTGTTTATTCCCTTCTTTTTCAGTTTCTCAGAGTCGCTCCTGCATCATGAAATCTCAGACTGATTATCAACTGAATGGAAAAGCTCAAAGTTTGAAATTGCAAAGCTTCAAGATTTGAGAAACAAAATTTCTCCATTTCAGTTTCAAGTATCTGTAAAATCCCACTGAAAAGGATACCTACATGATGCAGTTGTGTTTATGACTGCAACCACAAGCACAGGTTGGGCAAGGAGTGATGGTGTCGTTGTAGAAAGTTGAGAAAGAAACACAACAACTCGGGTACTTGGACGCCAGAAACTGAGAATAGGTGCATGTCACATTCCAGGTCACTGCAAGTAACTTTTTCATCAACCTGATTGCTTATTTATTTAACTTTTCCAACCGACAAAATGGATTAATGCCCTTCTTGAAATGACCAAAAACAGAGAAAAAAATAGGGAAACTTACTCAATGCTTGAGTTTTTCGCCTGTGATCTGCAGTGAGGAAAACAGTGGATGGAACTATCTTAGCAGGGCCACAAGTGTAGCCTGGTCCTGGACCAAGTAGACTGAAATTCTTGGGTAGTTTAACCGTCTTGTTTGATGTTCCAGCAAGTCCAACACTAAGCTGGAAGGAAGAAACTGACTCGGAAGGATCTTCGCCCCAAGATGCCATAACACCACCTTTGCAGCAATTGCTGAATTGTTGGTTGTAAGGAACTCCAGGAAGCAAGTCCAGAATTACAGGATCCTTCTTGCAACAATGTGGTACATTTCCTTTAAACTTGGAGCAGTCACCTTGTTCTGTTGCTTGTGCTCCCACTATGGACCATATTACTTCTTTCTTTGCCCAGTTCCACCCTAATGTCCACCCGGGGCTCATAATGTGCCGATACATTTGGAAATTATTCATTGTTACTACAGCCTGGACGAATTTTTCACATTGTCATTACTCGTATAATCTTTCTGTGGCATGATATTCTTTTAAGAAGATACTTACTACATAGCCATCTGGCGTCCAAGACATGACATCCCATTTTATTGTGATGTTACCAAATGGATCCAATGGATCAAATGCATCTGCAGTTCCAGAAGGAAAAAAAAAAAAAGAATATGCAAATGATTACCAAGGTCCAAGGAATGCAAAGTTAAATGGGCCATTATAATATACTACTACAAATTATTATCTGTATTTGTATCGTACCTGCATGAGGCAAGATAGATGACAAGACGACTACGAAGAAGCAAAGCTTTGCTAGAGGAAATAAGAGAAGCTGGCGTCGATTGGAATAATCTTTTCCCTCAAAAGACATTCTTTTCTGAGACATCCTTAGTGTCATATGTCTTGATATTAAAGGAACTTATGTTATTTCTAAAAGAATGAAGTTGGAATATTAAAAGAGAGGGATTTTAAGCAGAAGATAAATTCATGTTGATGCTACACCTAATGGTTGTTGGGTGCTTTATGCCATAATATCATTTTCTCAACCCCACTCTATAAGACTCTCACCTGTGAAAAGTTGTGAAAGGCGGGAGAAAAAGGGACATTTGAACGCAATAGCTAAGCAGTCATTTCCTAGGTGAGATATATCATCACTTCTGATTAGTGAGTTCACTGTACGCTAAACTGGCCCTTTATAGTACATGTTACGTCTTAATTGTTCTTGATTATGTATAACAAAATTATTAACCTCCACCCCTTCCCTTAAAAACGCAAAAAACTACTACCCTATAACAGTATAAGAATCCGAATTTGATGAGAATATTAAGCAATCATTATCTATAACAGTCCACAACCGCACCTTGCAGTTGTAAAACGTATTCGAAGAGCAGAGTTTTCTTTTTCCTTGTATGTCTTCCCTTTCAACTTAATTTAATATTCTTGGGAGCATTTTACATGGTTAAGAGAAGAGAAGGATAAATGTGTCAAGGATGTGTTTCAAATTGAAGAAATCCTAGAGAAGTTGCACGTGAGCTCGAATGCCTCAGTGAACATATTGTTACATAAGTGAACAAAGACATCTTAGCAATTTGAATGGCAACGGCTATCTGAAGAGGGCTCTTCAGAGTTATATTTTCCTTAACTAATTAACTCATAAACTAATTTAAGTAGCAGATTTGAAAGGGAAACAACATATATTTGTGAAAATTTATCCAGCAGGTTGTTGACAATTTAAATACAGTAGAATCAGAGTTAGTCCTGCTAAGAGTGCTCCTTGTTTCATGCCAAACAAACCTGTATGAATGGTTGACATTTTATGGCACACATTTGATATCTATAAGAAAATTGGATGATTTGAGTGTGCTCTGATTAAGCATCTTATTTTCCATTATAACTCTTCACAAGTTCTGGAAATTGTCAAGTGCATTATAATACTCATTAATGCATTCCTGTTCTTGAATTTTTATCACCAAATACCACCACAGGCTAGGAATACCAAGAGAAACAGAAGAATCACAGTTGGGCAATACTCTTTATCTGGTGCCAGAAGAATTTGGAACAAAAGGGTAAGATTCAGGAGATGGCATCACACAGTTATTGCCATTCCGAGGGAAAGCCCATCCTTTCTTTAGTGTGATTGTGTTTCCATCCTTCTCAAGTTTTAAGTCTGACTGCACCTTTCCTTTTGGTCCGGCTTGCATAAGGACATCATTATATGATTTTCTCCCATAAAACATGGCAGTATCATCTGCATATTAGAATATCATCAGCCCGTTGAACGCCTTGACGGACAATATAGCATATGTATTTATACATATGACTCAAATAAAGAGATAGAGAGCTTACTAATTGATGGGTAAGGCATGAGATGCTTGTATGAAAAGCTGGAAACTTTGGTAGCATTATTGAAGTTTGGATGCTGAACGACGAGTGTCCACTGTGTGTAGTTGAATCGGTAATTGAAGTTTGTTATGGTGATCTTCACTCTATAATACTTCTTATAGTTTGATTTCACATGCCAATGCACTTTGATAGGGCACATGTGTTTTGTGCATTGCAGCGCCGGCTTATTTACTTTCTTTGGCGCATTTACTCCCTCACCACTCGGTGTCTTCCTGCAATTATACTTGTTCGTTGTTTTTATAGCTACTTAACGAGGCCAATTGTTACTTGTTTAGATGTGTTATGCGCATCAGTACGTTCATAAGAGAGAAAATATCGACTACTAGTACTTAATATAAAGCTCTGAACAATGGGAAATGCATATCTTACATGACACAGTTGCTGCTATTCTGGCAGCCACAAGAACACGAAGGGCAAGGTGTGATACTTCTATTGTGAAAAGAAGACAAGGAGACGCAACATGTTGGTCTCGGGGAGGCTAAGAACTGAGAGTAAGTGCATATCACTCTCCATGTCACTGCACATTAAACAAAAATATTCAGGCTGTTAGAGACAGACTTAGCCAACACTATTTACTTTCATTCTTCGGTTAGAACTATTGAAAATCAAACTTACTCATTGCCTTTGTCACTCGTCTACCATCAGGCGTGATGAAAATAGTGGGAGCAATGATTTTAGCAGGACCACAGGTATATCCAGGTCCTGGAGCGCGCAAAGTGAAATTTTTGGGAAGTTTGACAGTTTGGTTTGTAGTCCCAGCAGAGCCAACAGTAATCTCAAATGCAGAGACAGCAGCAGAAGGGTCTTTTCCCCACGAATCCAAAACACCACCCTTGCAGCAGTTAGCAATTTGCTTGTTAAAAGGGGTATTTGGCAACAAGTCAACAATGCTAGGATTTTTGTCGCAACTGTGAGGAATATTAGTTCCAAACTTTGAACAATCCCCTTGATCAGTAGCTTGTGCTCCCAACATGGACCAAATTACCTCATTCTTTGCCCATGTCCATCCTAAAGTCCATCCTGGGCTCGTTATTGGACGATACATTTGGTAATTGTTCATTGTCACCACTGCCTGAAGAATTTCAAGAATTCATGTACCAGAAATCTCAAACTGCTTATTAAAATGTGAATAACATAATAATTCAAATATATTTACCACATAACCATCAGGAGTCCAAGAAAACACGTCCCATTTGATTGTTATGTTTCCATTTGGATCCAATGCGTCAAAGGCAGCTGCAGTAAAAAGCAAGAAACTCAAATTAGATAACAGAATTTATCAGTAAACAAGAATCACTCCAATTGAATTTTGAATATAATGAAATACCTGCACCAGAACATAGCACAAAAAGGAGAAACATTAAGGTATAAAAGTTCCAGGAAATCTTGCACTCCATTATGTAAAACTAATCCGAATTTCTCGAGAAGATAGAAGAGCTGAAATTCAGCAGCAACTGATGATAAAAAATTATGCTAAATGATCAAAAATTCCTGAAAGGAGTTGAACAAAAAAAGGAATAGTGATTTGAACTTGTATTAAAAAAAGAAGGGGAGAATTTTTTTTGAACAAGTCGTATAAGAGGTTACTTCCTAGAAACAGACTCTAGAATTATTTAATACTGCAACCTCACTTTCTTGGTTTTTATATGCTATTGTCAAACTCCAAACTATGAATGAGTTGAATTTATCTTGCATGAAGAGTTAATACTATATTAATATTGCTAGAAATGCCTCAAAAGAAATTAACTTAATAATGTTATTTACATTGTTCAACGACATAGTACGAGTGGCTAGTTCATAATCAATTCGAATCACTATATTTTACCCATGGGTGTAACTTGGACAACACTTTCTCTTTAAAAATATCTGAGAAAAAGCTCCTATATAACTCAAAATTGAATAGATATTTTGCTTTTTGAACGCTTCCAAGAGGCACTAATATAAAGAAGATGAAGAAAACACTTATATAGAGTTTAAGAATTAGAGATTGAGCATATTATAACGCTTCTAAAACAAGTTCAAGAATTTGCATCAAAGATATGATCCAAAATCCATATCTGGACAATCAATTAATTCTAAAGAATTATACATAAAACTGAATCTCCTAAAACCAAAAACATAAAATTGAACTATTGTTTGATCCAACTACCACTTAGTTTCTCATGTCTAGTAATACTTTAGGTTAAATTGACCAAATTCCAGCGAAGCATGCGGGATATCGAAGATTTTAACAGCCTAAAATATTCGATTAAACTGAAAATATCAAAGGGAAGAAAAAAGAAGGTCGACGTTATATGCCTCGTTGGATACTGAATTAAATTATTCGTTTATTTTCCTCCACCGGTTCCTAAAGGATAACTCATGTGCTCCTTCATTCGAATAATACTGTAGTAATATGTTCCAGTATAAAGAAATAATTAAACACACAAAAACACCAAGGGTCAATATATATAATTATATGAAATACCCTACAACACATTACAATTTTTCGGTAAAGGTGGCTCAGCCACAGCTTTCAGCTATGGCGTTTAAACTTACTATAAACTCAAAAACTTTTTAAAAGGATGTTCACTATGTATGGTTCAAATCAAATATATCAGTCTTTGCTTGCATGTACGAGTTTGTCACGGATCATTTTGAGTCGATCTTTTTTCTTCACTCAAGTAAAAGGGTGTACCGGGTATTTTTATTTATGGAAAAGAGAATGTGTTGTTTTTCAACACAATTGTTCTGTCCAACCACGTTTTCGATTATCGAACCCCTGTTAGATGAATGAAAATTTGCCAAAACCTTTCAAATCTTGCGTTTGATGCAACATCTGATGACTGAACCAGTAAACTTTTTGACAGCAACATCTAACAAAGCACTCATCAGAACCATAGAAAGTGAGGGCATCTTTGAATTCAAACGATATTCCCTTAAATGTTCTAAAAGTTAAGCTTAATGGACTTTTCTACCCATTAAAAAAAGTTTTGAGAAAATGTTATGACCTGCAGCATTGTATTCGAAATAGGGGAGGTTTATAACCGAAATTGGGAAAGGCAACTGAAATTCAAATGGACGGCCACGATTAATAAGAGCTTTAATGAAGTCCAAGGGTTAGGATTGCGCCACGTCAGCAGTAGTTGTTATAACTAACTGCAGCAGAGGAGGCATCTTCATTCAGCAAAGTAAGCCTTCCTCTCTCGATTCTCTTTCCTCTCCAATTCTCTTTCCTTCTCTTCTTCTTCCTCCTACTAATCTACTTCTTCTTCTCTTCTTCTTCAGGTAACTCGACAATGGAGTTTCACTAGCAGTAGTTTCATCATTTCCAGTTGTAATAGATAGCTTTTTGTTTTATTTTGATAAATCAGAAAATTGTCCCAAAACATTCTCTATTTCCCTTTCTGCATTTGATTTCCTTTTTAGCTTAAGATCATTACAATTAGTATCAGAGCCTCGATTCTGCGACTGTGAGGAGCTGATGGTTGAAGGAACTAGATTGAAAGTTATGGATGATAAACTGGTCAGGCACGAGGAGGTTCTGAACGAGGTGGTGACCACTCAGGAAACACTCCGCAATACTCAAACTGGCATACAAGGCACATTGGAGTTGATACTTGAAAGACTAACTAATTTGGAGAGGGTTCCACAAAGGGCACAAGGCGAGAGACCTCAAGGTGATGGATTATTACCCATGCCAGGCCAAGAGATGAGACAACTTCGACCTCAAACAGTGCAAACTCCTGCGCCTAAATGGGAGTTACCCTATTTCGAAGGCCATGAACCTAAAGGATGGATTCGAAAATGCGAGAGATACTTTAACTTGTATAAGACGCCGGAGAATCTGAAGGTAGAGGCAGCTGCTCTCTATTTGAATGGACTGGCAGATGTATGGTATGATTCCTTAATCCTTAGTAGAGGGGAAATTAGTTGGGCTGAATTTAAGGAGGAGTTGATGATTCGATTTGGGGAAGAATTATTGGGAGACATAGTAGAGTAATTTAACAAGCTGAACCAGACTGGGACAGTGGATGAATTCCTAGGCAAATTTGAAGAGTTGAAAGCCTAAATGCTAATCAGGAACCCTAACTTAGATGAATCACATTTCATATCCAGTTTTATTGGGGCCTTGAAAGAGGAGATTAGGTTTGGTGTGAAGTTGTTCAAACCACTCTAAGGTTTGCTGTGGAACAGGCTAGGCTACAAGAAAAGGCTATTGAGGCTGCCCTTAAGTGCACAAAGACAATGGCTAAATCATTCCAGAACACTATTAGTTCTAGCATCAATAAGGCACCTGTGACAACTACAGTCAAGCCAACTTCATTTAGGCTCAGTCCTGAGGTTTATGAGTACAGGAAGAATAATCACTTGTGTTATAAATGTGGGGAGAAGTATGCCCCAGGCCACCAATGTAAGAAGAAGCAATTGAACAGTATGATAGGAGCAGCAAAAGTTCCTATTGAGAATGCTGAAATAGAAGAAGAACAAGACTCTACAGGGTTGATTATTGAAGGGGATATGGAGCAGGAAGTTATAGAAGCAGTATGTTTAAATGCTCTATCGGGTGATAACAAGGGGGTGAATATCATATTGGTACGAGGGACTATAGGCAACAGGAAATTGACAGTGTTGATTGACTCAGGAAGCACTCACAGTTTCATCGATGCCACCACAGTCAAGGAGTCAGGATTCCAAGCTCAGCCCTGCCCACCTGTGAGAGTGACGGTTGCTGATGGGAATTATGTCATGTGTATTGCCATTTGCATGAAATACCAGTGGAAGATGCAGGGTCGACCATTCCAAGAGAATCTATTCATTATTCCATTAGGGGGCTGCAACATGGTCATGGGAAATGATTGGATGAAGAAGCACAATCCAACTACATTTGATCATGAGAAGATGTGTGTTACTATTGGCAAAAAGGGTAACAAATTGGTGCTACAAGGCATCACTGAAGAAGGAAAGCTAACTATGATCACTAGTGGAACCATGGGAAAAATGCTAAGGAAAGGTCAGGCTCTATTAGCCCACCTATTTATGATGAATGCTGTAAATGCTGGAGAGCAGGAGGCAGTAGGGGAAGCCATTGAAGAGGTACTGCAGCAGTATTCAGATGTCTTTGCTGAGCCAAAAACCTTGCCTCCTGTCAGATCATTAGACCATAGCATACCCTTGAAACCAGGAGCAATACCAATCAGTTTGAGACCCTACAGATACAACTATTACCAAAAAGAGGAACTAGAAAGGCAGGTTAAGGAGATGCTCACTAATGGCATCATACAGCATAGTCAATCCCCCTTCTCTTCTCCAGCCTTACTTGTCAAAAAGAAGGACGGATCATGGAGATTCTGTGTGGACTATAGAGGGTTGAATGATATCACAATCAAGGATAAATATCCCATTCCCATTGTGGATGATCTATTGGATGAGTTGAGTGGATCTATGATGTTTTCAAAGGTAGATTTGAGGGCTGGTTACCATCAAATCAGGATGAAGGTGGAGGATGTGTACAAGACTGCTTTCAGAACTCACATGGGCCACTATGAGTTCAGGGTGATGCCCTTTGGGCTAACAAATGCTCCAGCCACTTTCCAAGCCTTAATGAACCAGGTTTTCCAACCCTTCCTCAGGAAATTTGTGTTAGTTTTCTTTGATGACATATTGGTATATAGCCTATCTGAGAAGGAACATGTAGCTCACCTAAGTGCAGTGTTTGACATCTTAAGAAAACATTCCTTGTTTGCAAAAAGATCTAAATGTTCATTTGGTCAATCTAAGGTTGAATATCTGGGGCATATCATAACTGTGGAAGGGGTGTCAACTGATCCTTCCAAGATCAAGGCCATGACTGACTGGCCTACCCCCAACTCTGTGAAAGCCTTAAGGGGATTCTTGGGACTGACTGGGTATTACAGGAAGTATGTTGCCAACTATGGCACCATTTGCAGGCCCTTAACTGAATTACTAAGAAAGGATGCTTTTAAATGGGATGGGGAAGCAGACTTAGCATTTGAGAAATTGAAGAAGCCTATGTTCTCTACACCTGTACTTGCACTACCTGATTACAGTAAAGATTTCATAGTAGAGACTGATGCCAGTCAAATGGTCATTGGAGCTGTACTAATGCAGGAAGGTAGGCCCATAGCTTATTTTTAGTAAAGTCTTAACACCAAGGCACAGGGGCAAGTCTATCTATGAAAAGGAGTATATGGCCTTGCTAAATGCAGTAGAAAGTGGAGGCATTATTTGCAATACAAGCATTTTGTGGTAAAAACTGACCATCACAGCTTGAAATACCTCCTAGAACAGAGAGTAACTACAGCTATACAACAAAAGGGACTGACTAAGCTACTGGGAATGGACTATGAGGTGCAGTACAAGAAGGGAGCTGAGAATAGGGTTGTTGATGCTCTGTCTAGACAACAAGAAGGCCTTGAGGATTCAAGAAATCAACTACAAGGGGTCTTACAAGCCATCAGTATTTCACTTCCTGCATGGGTACAAGAAATAACACACAACTATGAAGGAGATCCTAATGCCACTGAAGTCATTAGCCAGCTAGCTGTGACTCAACAAGGGCCTAATATATGGCACTATAATGCTGGTATACTCAGGAAGAAAGGG